TCGATTTTGTGTGCAATCGTAAGGCGCGTACGCTTCGTTTTGTCCTTCATGGATCAGGTCAAGTTGACCTGATCCATGAAGAAGTGGAAATTCTTCTTGTCCTCAACCTTCCAGAACTCCATGCTTGACCTGATCTTGTCCCGGAGCATACGCGGTTCCAACTTCGGCAGCACTTGTCGGACGAGAGCCTTGGCGGAGTCAGTAACCACGTACTGTACACGATTTCTATGTAGCTCCTTCACTGTGTCTGTGAAAAAATGGAGCACACCGCCGCCTGGGCCTGCCCTGCCTTGCTTGAACTTGACGCGTGCCAATGCGTCGGCCACTTGGCTGTCGACGGCTCTGTCTGACACTCGCGCCCGGGACTCAATCCATTCCTTGACTTGCTGGTCCGTCAGTGCTTCTACAGTTGTAGATTCGGGGATGGTTCTGCACATTACCAAGGACATGAGCAACTCTGGGTCGACGCACGACTTCATACCTGCCGGGGGTACGCGGTCCGAACGTGAGCGGGAGCGGTTGAAGTCCTCAACCTTGATGATATAGGACGCATACTTTACTTTGAAACTCAGTATCTCCTCGCCCATGACCCCCTTGAGCAGCGGCGCCGTCATCGAAGAAATTGCCGCCACAGCCATGCCTTCACTTGCGAAAGTGAGCGCTCTGTGCTGTTCGCGTACGCTGCGCCAGGATGCTCTTCGAAGAACAAAGCGCTTTGATGGTTCTGGTGCGACGCGCGACGTGTGGTGGCATGTAAAGGACGGGGAAAGGTAAGGGAGAACTCAACTCGCGTACGCTTCTCTCTCCTGGCAAGTCAATGTGCATGGTGATGCCCCCCGCCCTCGTTTCCAGGACGGGGCATTTTTTTAATCGGCCCCCAGACCTCTGCGCCTTTGGCTTCGAGATCTTCCTGTCTCCTGATCCCCGCGTGTCTCGAGAAATAATTCGCCCGCCAGTATCGTCCTACTGTCTCCTGTGGCTCCTCTAGAAATATGCTACGGGATCTAGACCTAGCTAAACACCTGAACCTGCCTTGCATGTGCAACAGTGCCTTTTTAGCGCCTCTTTCACCCACGTTATCAGAACTTCATTCCCAAAGAGGCCAAGATCGTCAACGTACACTAGAAGAATAACTCTTTTCTTTCCCTTGTTCAACAAAAATAGACATTCACTGCCCGTCATTGTGCGGAACGCGAGATTTTTCAGTGTAGAGCGAAGTGATCTGTACCACAGCTTGGGAGCTTGTCGAAGCCCCATACAGTGACCTCCACAATTTCACAACCCTTCCATTCGCTTCTGGAACACCATCAATCTGCGGTAGGCGTAGCCAAATGCGATCTGATTCTGGTAAGTGAGCATAGAGGAAAGCACCTTTAATGTCCACCTGCTGACGACACCATCCAAAAATGGCGCAAAGTGAAAGCAAGATTCTCACCAAATTGAAACAAGCAACTGGAGCATACCTTGTCTCATAGGCATTCTCATCGACGGTTTGCAAGTTTCCCCGTGCCACAAGTCGTGCTTTGAAACTAGCAGGTCTTCCTGATTGATCCCGCTTGAGCTTCAGGATGATGCCTGATGGGAGTGCCCGTGACGGAGAGTCAAGAGCTTCTTCATACGCACTTGACTCAACAACTGTGTCGAATTCCTCCTGAATTGCTCTCTTTCAGTGATTGGCTTCTGGTGAGGCCAAGGCTTCTTTCAGGTTGGGCTCATCATCAGTGCTAACTGTATCTGGAATAGCTCGGTTTGCCCTTGATGGTAAATGATAGCCGTGAGTGACAACTGGCGTGTCATCAATCACTCCATGGGTTGAAGGTACTGCTGGTATGTGCAGCAATAAGTCCTGATCGTGTTAGTGGTTGTCCAATACATTCACACTTCTCTGACCTTGTTCATCTGTGCTTACATCCGCTGATGTTTCATCTTCGACAATGCTGGAAGTTGGTCGAATATCAGATTGCAATTCATCACATGAGTCGCTGATTGATGTACTGGATGTATTGCACGAATGATTGCCACCTCTTGTTTCACTCTCATCGAACTGATGATCTAAGACAGTTTCCATGCTTCCATTTGGTTGGCCATTCAAGAGCGACATTCCAGGAAATCATTCTCAAGGAACTTGACGTGTTTGGTCACCATAATTTTGTCAGTAGTGAGAACTCTGTACAAACCACCACTCATGTGTCCAAGGTTGACCCCCTCCATGAAACGAGACTCGAATTTGTTCAATTTGTTCGTGACCCTTTGCACGAGAGCTCTGCAACCAAAGGGGCGCATGTGCTTGGCATACGGAGGTGTAGTGCAATGTGCCTGGCAGGCCGCAAACGCAGTCCGACGGTCAAACAAAAAGAAGAAAAACAACAACAGCAACCACCACTGCCGATGGCACGCGCTACGGAGCGTTCGAGACTCCCTTTCCCCTTGTGTGGGCTTGCGGCCCACGGTAGCTCAACTCCGACGGGGGGGTAAGGAAAGATGCCCGGCCCCGGAGGATAATGGTGGTAGAGACTTGTGAAGACTTGAGTGCTCGACGAGTGCGGGTTGGGCTTGTCTACGAGGATGTGACCGCGGTTCGCTGGGTTGTAAGGCCAATGCTCGACGAGCGTCTTTGGCACGTTTGGTATAATTCAAGGTCTTCGACGGGGGCTTGTTCAGCACTACCCGACGGGATCGTAACCGTGTAGCAACGCTACTACCGACGTGTTGCCTGATGGCTAAAAACACCCTCACCAGCGCGATCGCAATCGCGGTAGGTGGTGCCAGCTCTGTCTTATACAGTAAGACCTTCGACGGAGGCGTCGTTGCAACAGCCTTCCGACGGAACTTGAAACAGTAGCAGCGCTACACACCGTGTTGCCCGATGGCTAAAACACCTACACCGGATCGGTCGCAACCGACTCCAGTGGAACCAACACAATTAAGGGAAAAATAGAGGTAGAGATAGAAAAGAGTAGGCAAATAAAGGAAAAAGAAAAGGGAACCCCCGAGCGCAAAGGATAACGTAATCTGTGGTAAAAGGGAGCGTCTTGGGAAAGACGGACTTCGACCAAGGCGATATTCAACTCTGGCAACTCGGGTTACCTTTACTGACTTGGTGGTCAGAGAGCTAAGGTATATATCGCCCCGCCGGAGTCACTACAGTAGCTCGCGGCGCTAGATCCTAGATCTAATCTAGTGTCAGCAAAATTAAAGCCAACTAATTAACTAAATAAAATAAAATAATTAAAACTTAAAACTGTGCAATTATTCACACGTGTGTCCCCCAACCCGGACTACTTTTCATATCCAAATATTTTCCTTTCTTTTCACCCCCCTTTTCAGGTACGTATTGCACTACAGGAGGGTTAGATTTAAAAAGCTTCACATAAGGCGATTCCTGAGTAGAGGAGTGAATCATGATATTTTTTGCTTGACTCACATGGAGAATTGCATCATTCCAGTAGTCCAAAGAAAGATTAGACTCAACTAGGCAAGTTCGGGCTAGAGAAAGCAGTGTACCATGAGTACGCTCTACCAAACAGGCTTCCACGGAAGAAACGGCGAAACTTGCTCTTCATGCATGGATCACATGCGCTCTCGCCCACTCGTGGGGCAGCCAAGACTCCAGTATCAATCAGATTCTGAATGTGGTTTGCGCTTCCCATGTGCCCAAGCCTAGAATGCCATATCTTCACACCTTCTGAGTCCGGATCACATACTTGATCTGGGAAGGATCCTTCCCCGGTGCGCTCCGAATCTGCTGCATCGGGCCCCTCAACAAGCATTTTCAAATCAACAATGCTTTCACTGTCTGACTCACATTCGGAGGTGTCTGATTCCTCCGACTCGTACTGTGATTCATCTTCGTCATCACTTAGAAGATCGGAGATGTCCTCATCACTTGACGTATCAATTTCGGATTCTTCATCCATGTCCACTAATGCTAGGTGGCTTCGTATGACCGTTCTCATGGCCCTGGGAATGCAATTCTGAGGCTGCACTTGGGGGCGACTGCACATTCGATCGTTAGTCAGAATATAAAACAGACCATCACTAGCCTTGAAAGCTGTACCGAGGACACGGAGTGTATCCTCAATATCCATAATGACTGCCTTCTTTGGCAAAAACAAAACACAAAGACCTTTCGCCGTCAATGCAGGTATAGAAAACAGGTTCATTGCCAAATCTGGAGCAGCCGAAGTCTCTGTGAGCTCAACTTCCGTCTCATTGTCTGAAGATGCCCATATGACACGGCGCAACCTCCGAAAGTTTGCAGAGATTTCTGAGTCATCACCGAGGGAGATCGGCACGTCACACGCAACTTGGTTATCAAGAGTTGAGACATCGTTAGTCATGTGCGTAGTTGTCCCAGAGTCCAACATCATAACAGAGCCACGTGCAGATTTTGACACGAGAGCCTTAGCCACAGCTGCTCTCTTCTTCTTGGTTTTAGATTTATCGTATACAGCTTGTGTGGCTTTCTCCGTTGTTGACATTCCATCTTTGCCTCCATTCCTAGAAGATTCCAGTCGATTTCTAGGATTCTTGGGGTTCAGCCAGCACTTGTTGATGGCATGGCCTTTCTTCTTGCACAGATCGCAGTGCATATGAGACCGTGTAGCACGTTCGTGGTGACTATGCTTTAATTTGAAAGCATTTTGCTTTTCAAGAATCCTTGATG